GTGGGCCTCCCCTGGCAGCTGGGGCCTGACTCACACCATCCTGCCATGAGCAAATGTTTTCCAGTGTGTTCACTGCATGGAGGCCCACATGAGACAGTTAAYGTTTTTAGGTGGTCTGCTCTTTTCAGTCAAGCTGATGATGAGTTGGTGTAAATTCTTGCTGCATTAAGAAGTCCTAGATTTTTATTAAGTACATTTGTGTCACCCATGTAGTAAAGCCCTGTTAAAATGCTTTGAGTTGGCCAGTCTTTGTGCCTCTGTTTTTTTTCTTCAAGGAGGGCATGAATTGCTCATTTTGAATGAATTTTTAAAAATAATGAGAGTGAGAAAAGAGCACGTATGTGAAGGCCCTACAGAAGTGTGGTACATCTGTTTCAAAGCACCGAAGTGCAGACTGTGTCCCTAAAACAATTGTGGCATTTGTAACTCTTTCCATTCTGATTGTGCAGAAGAAAAATGTACCAAAATAGCCATTGTGGGAAGACCTCCAGGAAGTTTCTCTTCCAGCTGTGCAGTCATTTGGGCTTTGCCAAGCCAGGGTGGCAGAGCTGCAGAGGCCCCTCTGATGGGAGGGTGGGCGCACACCCAACGAGAGCCTGGGAGTGTTTGATGTCTGTGAGTCACTGGAGGAGAGAACACTCACCAGGAGAGCACTGACAGCCTAATGGAAAGGAAGGGCACTGAGGATGAGGAAATGAGGAAGGAACAGGCTGCTGTCCTCCTTCCCCAGGCCCCAGCTGGAGACAGGACACCAGCACATGATCTGCCCCACAGACACAGCTGCTCTTGCAGGGTAAGGAAGGGAAATGTGACCAAGCTCCCATTTGGGCCATGACACTGGAGACAGGAAAGTGGCAAAAAGCTTCTGAAAGGCAAAACAGATAAATATGCATCTCTTTGATCCTATCATAGCTCTGGCCACAATTTCTGGATTACTGTGACTGATCAATAATATAAAGAAACTTCCCCAAACCAAGGTCCAAGATGTCTAAGTTCATAGCCCAGGCAAATACTTCTCTCATGGAACACTCAAAAAAAAATAAAGAGGCTTTGAAAAGGAAGTGTTCATCAMTATTGACTGTCCTATATGTGAACTAGCCAGACTGGTAAAAGCTTAATTAAAAATTGCCAGAGTGACTAAATTATTTTCTAAGTGCAGCTGCAGAACGTTAGCTGTGGGCATATTTTAGACCTTAATTAGTAACACTTGCACTGGAGGACCAAAATCTTTCATGAGTGCAGCTGCAATCAATTAATATCAGTTAGGCATTTCTGTAGGCAATACAAGGGTTCCTGAAAATTGTTTTAGTGCCCACGTAGATTAAAAAAAAACCCCAAACTTATATGCAACAAACTACAAAASCAAAGGTAACTACAAAATGTCTTTATTGAAAAAAGCAGATTATAGCATCTAAGGTTAAATGAAACTTCTGACTTTAATATTAAATAACTTAAGATGATAGCAAGTAGCTTCTTCTTTAGATAAATAAATCTACATTTCCCATTTTTTTTCTTCAACAATCAAGGGAATCAAACACTGAAACACAAAACCACAAGTAATTCTAAAGACTAAAAGACAGAAGCACATTGAAAGGTTTTACAAGGATATATATATACAAAAATAGTTAACTAATGTATATTTTCAGCATGTAAACTAGTTACATGATATACATACTGGGAATTCATGTATTTCCTACAAAATAAAAATCAACGTTGGTCCAAGTTCTTGGAAGAAAACTATATTCTTTTAAAGAAAATGAAAATATTTCTCAAATGAAAACTTAATTTAAGTCAAATTATATACTCTAGTTACGGCATTAGTTACAGGATGAATCACAAACTTTTAAACTTTTCTTGAAACACAAGAAAGCAGCTTTTGTCTCCTTTAGAGCTTTGGTTTACTTTTCTACTCTGGAATTTCTGTTCTTAAAGAGCTCCTCTAACCATGTTTTCCTTTTGAAGCTCCACCTTACAAAATATATACACACACGTGCACAGAAGTGAAAGGAAAAGGAAAGAAACCCAAACAAACCCTCTCAATTATCTGAGTGCATTCTTTTGTTTTCAAGTGATTATTTTGGTCCTTTCTTTGGAACACGTCCTCCCGTGGATGAGATACTCTGCACAGCCCACAGCACCTTTGTGTTGCAGGGGCTCAGGAAGATTCCCCACCAGCATGGAAAGATGTCGTTCTGATGCAAATGAGAACAGGTTGCTATTGGTGTAACTTTTTGGAAATATTCTGAAAGTACACTAAAGGCACCTGAAGAACAATCAAACTGTAAGATGAACTTAGGAAGTTCATATCTGTGTTGAACTGATTTAACATAAGGATATTCCAGAAGAAAATAATTTAAGTTAAAAAAGCTTTTTCATTTACATAATTCCCCAGGCAGGAGGTAAAATGTGCTGTCATTTTAAAATGACATCATCATAAAACTGTCACTCACACTAAAGAGTACCGCCCATCATTATTTCAGGTTTGATTTTATTTTTCTCTTTGATTTGGGAAAAAACCCAACCAAACCTGGCAAATATCTCTCAAGCCCCAGCTTTTATAGTAAATGCTGGAAAAGCAAAGCTGTACTTTGTAATACATAATGGAATGCATCTGTCTATAGAAAATACTGGAACAACAACTGCTGCTTTCTGGTTTTAAACAATTTGCTTATTCTATAWTGAAACACTACCTTTTCAGAACTTTTACCATGATGACACTTAACAATCAGAACTGTGTAGAGCTACGAGACAAATCAGCATGTAAAATGAAATTAAATATTATTCTGTTCTACACGATGAACATCTAAAAAAAAATAAAAGAAGGTCTGGAAACTTAAACTTGCCCCTGGTGGAAACAAAKTGCTCAGGAAGGTGCTGTCAGAGGACTGGGGTGAAAGTCAGAGTTAGACACCTAGAGCTCTGTCCACTCTCAGTGTAAAGGTTTTGCTTCTCTGCTGGCAGAGCAAAGCATTTTTTCAGTAYAGCACGTAACTGTTACAGGATGAGCTGCTCCTAGGAACAGACCCAAATGTTCTCTCTGTATGTTAATGATAATTTTTTTTAATTTGGGTTCTTTAATATATATTGTAAAGACAATCAAATGAAAATGCCTCAAAGCTAAATGTRGTCCAAAGCACCCTCCTGCAATGGAAAAAGCATTTTGTCACAGCTGATGCTAAAAGTTTATCCTGAAGCTCTGGAAGCTTTCATGTTTGCAATAACTTGAAGGAATTGACCCAGCCATGCAATCCAGTTCAAGACAGTTTTTTCTCCTTTCTCCAACATTTCCTAGCACATGTAGTGCCACTTCCTCCTGAGTCTGGGCTGCTGGCTGTGGACACGGAGTGGCTTCAAACACAGAGGTGCACGTGCACTCCTGGCCTCTCATTTGCAGTCCAAGGCCTCTTGGACCACGGTGGAGCAATGGGGCACAGATTGCACTGTAGTTCCTCCAAATCCTGGCACTCGCATTGAACGTTAATCATAAACTGATATATATTAACTACAAAATGACTTTGCCCAGGAGCATTCAGTAGGACAGGGTAATCTAGGCCAATGGAACTCTGGCAGAAGTTCAGAAGCGTCCCTTTTGTTCCTTACTAACAGAAAAAAATAGTTCTCAGGAATTTTTCCTGTTCCCCTGCCCCCCCACCTTTTCCCATAAGGAAATTCCAGACTATCGAGAAGTTCTTTAAAGGGAGTTAATTATTCCACTTAGGAATTAGTKGCCATTGGAGCACCACAAATGGTTTTCAAAAAGTTAATGAAGCATAAGAAATGTAACTGCAATGGTGTTGCCAAATAAGTMATTTCATCAGTCTTCTTGCTGAATTTAACACGGGATCATTTCTGAACTGATCCGGCAGATTCTCAAGTGCTGACAACTGGCATGGAAATATCCCAATTTACACATGCCAGAATCTGACCTGGCATTTCCACTTCCTCTGGGGCTGAAGAACTTTATTTTATTGTAACTTTGAATACAGTTAAAGACAGCAATGATAAATTGCAGCTTCCTAAAGGCTGGACCAATTCTCATGAGAATGCAAGGAATTTTTTTGACRTACAGATGTGTGATTTGCATGTAAAACATCAGCACATGGTAGAAAACAARCCATATAAAAAGATTCATCTCACTTCCTATACGGAAGACATATATTTCTCCCCAGAGGTCTGAGGGTACTGTAAAAGCTTATGCAAAAGAAGAAAGTGTGTACATTCTGTGTACAGCTAATACTTGTAAATACCAATGTTTCAATGGTCTGACTCTAAATTATTATTCCTGCTAAACTGCACTTTTTTTTTCCAATGAAGACAATCACATAATCAGTTCAGAAGTAATCTCGAAAAGAACACAAAGCTGAAAAGGTAATACCAAACCACTGCGCCTCTCTTTAATATTGTCTCAACATACAATCATAAAGCAGTTGGGAACAAAAAAAGTCGCAGATAAAACGAGCAGTATGAAGACAAGTGTACCTTTGCATAGAACCCTATTAAACAAAAACCAGGTTTGAAATATGAATTCTTTAGTAAGTGCCAAATGGTCCAGTTGATAGGAATGCGTTTTGAAGCCATGGCTACACAGCCAGCAGTTACCAGCGGGCTGACCCTGCGTTACAACTGCTGACCCTGCATGTGCCAATCTTTTGGATACAATCCTCTGTACCGTGGGTTTTACATGAAATGCTTAGCACATTTCTTGAACAAGGTAAATAATTAGTCTTTGGATGACTGTGGAAACCCTGTAGGATGGAGAGCTGGCCTGATGCTTCTTCATGGAACTCCCTTCTTTAACCTGGCTGAAAACTGGCCTGGTGAAACACCTGCTTGCTGCCTATTCCCTACTTCTGGAATCTAAGTATTAYCTAAGACCAGAATTCAACAAGACTAGCTAAAATTCTAGCATTTATCTTATCATGCTTGCTTCAATATGATAAGGTGCTAGGTTTTGGAAAGTAATTCTACACTCCTTACTTGGGTGAAATCCCCACTGAAAGAAGTGAGTAGAGAGTGCAGAACAACCCTTTGTACCATTGTTTTTAGAAATGCTGCCATTTACAGTTACAGTTAAATGGTGAAATATTTGTTCAAGTAGACGGTGTCTCAGTGAAAATGTCTAGATAAAAGAATGCATATGTACAAGATCAGAAAAGGAACCCCCATCTCTGATTCAAAAAAATAAATAGCTGGTTTAGATGGTTCTTACTGGAACCTCATCTGTAAAGGAACACAAAAGTAATTTAGAATTTCGTCTTCTCTTTCAAATGGCTTCTTGATGACAGAAATGCTTTTCAGAGTTCTGTGACATGCATGGGGTAACTTGGAGGTGGATGTGATGGCAATTTGATATTAAGGCGCCTGATATGACAGCTGTGGCAGAGCAAGTGRCCCTCTAGGGGGTAACAACGATGGCCTTCCTCATCATTGAGCTGCAGGCCACAGTCCTAGAAGAAACACAGACATCCCAGATGAGTGAGTGACTCAGGCAGGGCCTTGCCCAGCTCTGCTGATCTGTCCTGCACAGCCCCCAGAGCTCCCTCCCTGCCCCAAAGGCCCCACAGCTTCTGGGAAGTGCCCCCTGACCATCCCACACTGACATTACTGAAATCAAACAAGACATAAGAGGAATACCCAGCCTCTTTTCACCACCATTTTTCCCCATTATAGTCCCTTCTCARTCTAATAAATGTTGATGCAAATCAGCTAAAACAGCAGGGCAGGGGCTGACCCTGACAAATACAACCTGGAAGAGGCTCAACAGAGAAGGAGCTAATTCTGCAACAAGGCAATGAGCAAGATGTGGGGGAGCATAAGTAGAGATTGAGAGCAGAGAGGAAAAGGGGGAGAGGTGACATATCTTACTTCTGAAGCAGGGCTACACTTTCTCTGATTTGGAATGAAAAGAACTCGGAGACTTGAAGGCCAGTGGTCCATCTTTAGTGGAAAYGCTGGTACCTCTGGGACTGACACATAACCACAGGGACAGAGATCAATAGAAAAGCAGCTAACAGGGATCCTGCCTGCTGACAGTTCATAGCATATTGCAGTACAGACCATCCTGATTTCCAGCCACCATCATTGTAATTCTAAGGGCATTTAGAAATCATGGAAGTTTGGTGCACAGATTTAATGTTTCATATATGTTAAATACTTAAAAATTATTACTGTGATCAGTTCTGAGAAACCAGAGATTGTGTGTACCTGTGCACTTAACAGAAAGAAAAAAAATGGAACAAACTGGGCTTATAGGTTTAGTAGTGAAAACAAACACAAAGCTTTTAACTGAACACAAAGAATAATTTTTCAGCTTTCACAGCTCACATTTAAATCCTCAGATTTTACAATACTGAAATAAGACTGCAAATGGGTTTTAAAATAAGCTTAAAACTAGAGTGTTAGTTTAGTGAGCTCTTAACCAAAGTACTAGCCAAGGTAATTGTATGTGTGTTGTTACGTATTATATAATGATTTTATAGCACTTTATACAAGATTCAAAATTMGAATTTACAAGTTTCAGATGCCCTACAGATGTGCCAAGTGTTCATATCTTTTCCTTCTCCAAAACTAAATTCCCTTTCTGCAAGGAGAATGTCTGCCTTGTCAGTGGATTCCAGTTTCAGACTGGGGCTCTAGTGATCTGTAAAAGGGCTCCAACTCCTCCGYAGAAGTCAAGTGGCTGCACATGAAAGAGGTGACCCAGAAAAGCAGCAAAGTTTCCAACCTGGCCACTGGCTCTGTGTGAGATGAGGATGACAGGAACAGTAGATCAGGAGTGGCTGTCTAAGTCATGGCAGCCTTTGCTGAAGGCTTCACGTGTGTACCTCGAAACACTGGCACTCACTTTTCCAGCAGCATTTGGGGACAGCAGGGACCCAGCCTGTACAGAGAGCCTGATCTGACACCATCAGGCAGTAACCTACCCCTGCTGACACATGGCCAACTCCTTCCTGGGCAGATGTGCAGGCAGCTTGATTTGCCTCAAATGGGAAGGAAAATGGGGAAATGAATAATGAAACAGAACAGAAAATAAATACCCAGTGGGGCATGCCAGCATCAAGTCAATAGCCTGAGAGAGCAGGGGAGGGAGCTGTCATCCTAGGTGAAGCCTGTACAAAGCAATAGTTGGGGGAAGGAGGAGGAAAGTTCAGCTCTCCAAAATAATGTGATTTCCTGTGCCAATTTCTCTTGAAAAATTAATCAAAATGGATGGAGTATYAGATGTCTCTGTTAGAGACAACTGAGTGGATGGTATAGCTGAGTGAGTTTAAATGCATAACATTTCAAGATGCCCTGAATTTCTCTCAGTTTGAAGAATCTTTATAAAACCTTTGTGCACCAGTGCAAGGAGGCAGCACTGCTGCATTGCTGCCTCTGGTGCTAACTCTGTGGATATTTGTGTGCAATGTCAAAGTGCCAAACCTACGACAAAAGGGAAGCTTTTGGTTGATCCCAGCACAGTGAATTTGTTTTTCTTTTCATGTTCCTGGATGCAGAACTAAGGATGCACTCAGATTTCCTCTCTGAAGCAAGAGCACTAATTCCACACTTGATCTGTGGCAATAAATGTTTAAATGTTCTGCACAGTAAGAAACTACTCCTCAAAAAGTGACAGAAAGGCAGTGACATCCTTGTCTTTTTCCGAGTAAGGAATCAATATTCATTCAGCATGGAAAAAACAGATCCCCTAGAAAAGCCTTCCAGTGAGAGTCATTCCCTGCACAGGCAATGGGAATCCAAGTCTCCTCAGATCAGAGYCCTACAAACTGCATCCAGAGATGAGGAAAAAGAGAACTGAACCCTACTCTTTGCTCTCTCCCCACCGGGAACTACTGAGAAAATTCAACCCAATGAAACAAACCCAGTTTTAAAGTTAATATATTGGGGGAAAAAYCCTCAAAAACCAAACCTGCTGGTGATGGCAGCAACACTCCCAGCCCAGGCAGCACTTGCTCTSTGCCTCCCTCCAGGAGCTGTGGGCAGAGCCCTACCTGTCCAGGGGTGCAAGAGCCAGGGAGGTGTGCCATCCATGGGGCGAGTCAGGGACCCCAGAGACAGAGCAGCACCACCCCCTCCCCACCTCCTGAGGTGACCCTGGCGYGGGGTGGCCGCAGAGACCTGGCTCACCTCGCAGTGGTAGCACTCCACGTGGTAGTCCTTGTCCATGGACACCACTCGGATGGTCTCCTCAGAGCCCTGCAGGAAGCAGATGCAGAGTGAGAGCTGCTCAGGGAGCATTTCCTCCTTGCTGGCTTGGTGCCCGCAGAGCTGTCCCTGGGGATGGCCCCGCTGCCCCCGCAGCAGAGCTCTGGGAGTGCTCAGGGTTCCCACCCCACACACGGCACCGCACTGCGGCCTCGGCTCTGCACAACACCGTGCCTGTGGCACATCTAAACTCTATCGGTCATTTGGGAAGTGTAGCCACAACTGCATCCTCAAGGAACAAATTAGGCTTGAAATCAAATAATCTTCCAAGGGCACCTAGGATCTGAACAAACCACCAGTCACTGGGTAAGTGTCCCTTGTGTACATCCTGCTGTGCTTTCCAGGACTCGTATCCCCCTCAACAGATCTGWGCACAGCTCTCCTGCACCCGTGTATCCCCCCAGGGACTGACACACCAGTCTGGCAGCTCATTATGTGCACAGGCCAGACCTGGCGTAAGGGTGGGTGCAGTGGGGTTGTGCAACTCCTGGCTGAGTCCYGGGCCCTGCAGAGCAGCCCATACCCTCCTGGTAACCTCAGACACTCTTCCCTGATGCACTCTGAAGACAGAGCTCACTAAATCGGTTGCCTTGCATTGTTCCCAGCTCCAGGTGTGGTGAGAGCACCAGCTATGACGTGGGCCATGTCTGAAAGAAGCTGTGAGCAGGTCAGCACCTGCACTGCTAGACTTGAACTAGCCAAGGAAATCTCCCTGGGAAAGCACACGGAGTCTGCCCTGCCAGTCATCAGGTGAGTCAGCACTATGACTGCCTTTAATTTCCTTTTCTTTCTCTCTTGAAAATCACAAAAGAATTATTTTTAAGCCCTAAATTTGGTGAAATTTACATAGAGAGTTTTCTGCTCACAACTCACCACCAGGACATGAAGTTCTGGTTCAGCCTTTATAGGGTTTTTTTAGTTATGTAAGACTTRGCCAATTAACAGAAACACTAATGGACAAATGAGAGTAATGTGCAGAGTGATGGAGGTGGGCATGTGAGAGGCTCTAGCCTGTACAGGGCACAGCAGCTTACAGGAGGGAAGCTCTGGCTCTATAAACATGACAAGAAAAGCAGGAAGGTGCTGAGGCCCTTGTTTACAAGTGAGCTGGTTATTGACCTCAGCAAAGGGAACTCAGAGGGTCCTGCACCCACCAGATCATGAGGGAGCACAATTTGCATCCTCCTGGGGCTGACTGTACCAACAACACTGCCAGCACAAGCTGAGCTTGMAACCAGGATTCACTTGGTTCCATTTTTGTTGTTGCCTTTTCCRCCCCTTTAAGCACCTTCATTCCAGTGCCACCTCAGGACAAGGGACTGTGTGGCCTTCTCACAGGGGCAATCTAGAGTATTTTCAAGGGCTTTACTCCCTGCGTTGTTTTTGGAGCCCCAGTCAGAGTTTTCAACTAAATGAGGTTTCTAACAGAGTAATGAAGACCTGGAAAGAACCCTAAAGATACGAAGTACTGTGCTGTAGAAATAGTTTTGATTGTTACAAACTCTGGGAGTGTTTGGGAGTGACTTCACTGCTGAGCTGTGTTTAATTTAGCATTTACCATAATACAGATTCTGRGAGAGGAAGGAAAAGCATTTAGTGTGTTTTTAGAACAGCTGTTCTAAACAGCTGTTTTCCCCAAGAGTCAGTGCATGTTAACACCTACCTGTGCTGGGAGGATCGGCTGGTTACAGGAAGCACATTTTGGTGCAAAAACCCTGGAGTGCAAGAAGAAAGTGTTCCAATCACATTCTAAAGCTTCTTCAAAAAGTAGAACCAAGAGAGCCACTCTAATCATGCCTTGTTTGTAGCAAAATGGRGATCCACAGGATTTGAAAACATCTTTAATTGTTTGATGATATTCAGTGAAAAGGAGATTTGGGAAAAGCTGATCTATGTGAGCTTTATCGTATAGTTCTTCCCGACCTTGAGGCATAGCGAATCCACCTCTCTTCCTGCATATGCCCTTTTTCTTTCCTTCCTTTACCTATAAAACCATTAAAATTCTTCCAGAGCCTTGATGTATGACTGCAAAGCAGTTCCTGAYCCAGGGACTGTCACTCTCTGAGGTCAGGAAGGCACAGCCATGTGAAACAGGAGAGGGGTTGATGGTGGCCAGGACCTACCAACTAAACACACARATGGGCTTACAGCCCACAGCTGTGTGTTCTGCCAGCCCCCAGGCCAGCACTCACTGTCCCCTGTGTCACAGTCAGAGGGGCACCAACAGCACTGAACTGAGGGTGATTTACTCTCGCTGCATAACTGGGTCATTGGTTAACTGCAGCTAAGAGCAGGGTCCTGCTGCCTTTGGGCACAACCAGGAGGGAGCCCAAAAGCAATCTCTTAATTGTCCACCTGTGGTCAGGTAAGGCTAAAATTGTTCTAACACTGTTAATTACATGTYTTCTGTCTCAATTAACAAAACTGACACCTGTGTCATGCACTGCCAGAACCGCCACTCTTGGAAAGAARCCAGCAGAACCTACCAACACCTGCAGAAGTGGCCTTGTAAAATTAGTACTGATAGTCCTGAAAGAAGTAGAGGAACAGGCCCCTAGAAACATCCTCTGACACAATCTGATTTTCAGCATCACTTGGCCACTGTATGCCACACTGGGCCAATGAAGTAACCCTCAATRAACCTTGAAATACTTCGAAATACATGAAAGCAGCAGTTAAGCAACATCTGAGMTAACAGGAGTGACCTCTTTTATCTACTACAAGGCTTGTAAGTACATCAATAATTTAMCTACTGTAATTTTCTGAGCATGCAGTGGATTGGTGTACTCACGTATGGTAGTCTTTGACACAATAAATATTGTTCTCCACATCTACAGTGAAGGGGACTCCATCCAAACACTCGTTACACACCACGCAACGGAAGCAGCCAGGATGGTAGGACTTTCCAAGGGCCTGTAGGATCTTGTGAGGCAAACAACAAAGTAAGCAGATGCATGATTACATGAGATATTCTCTCCCTGTGTACTGCTGTGTCTCACCCATCCTCAATAATGACAGTGAGRAAAGCACTCCAGGATGAGATTACCACTCTGCAGATCTGTCAGTAAGGGGCCTCTTACAACAATCAACTTGCTTATTTCTKTGGGTTTCAATATGCTCCCAAAGAAGAGTAAGAACTGAAAATCAGTTTTAGCTCTGCAGGGCCCACGCTACCAATGGAAACTAAAAATGGCTTCACTTCTGGGGAAATCCCAAATACAAGTTACTGAGATACAGTTACTTTACAAAACTTAACAGGCTGTAACAGAATCCAAACTGGTCATTACCAAAAAMTTAAATAACAAAACAAGCAAATAAAGAGTTGCTCCTTTATTAACTAAGGATCCTGATCCCCCACAGTTACTGACTGGTTATCACTCAGTCATAGGGGCCCATCAGTTTCTGATAAAATTCCATACACCTGCCCAGGCTTTTCCTGTGCTGATCTTCCCTACTGCATTTCAAAGGCTTCAGGGAAAGGTCTGAGCCTTGGCTGCCCTGCTACAGAACAGATCCCCCCTGTCCTGACATCCTTGTATGCAACACTCAGTGTGGCACTGGGACATGCAGGAGAACGCCCCAAAGCACATCCTGGGAAGAGCAAGACACATTATCAGCTTCAGGCAGATCTAAGCAGGTTATAAGACCAATTCCATATATTTTGGGGGTAAGAAACATCTTGGAAAGGTTATTTCAAAGAGTAGCAGCTAGCACAATGCTCAGCTTGGAGCTGCTGGTAAGCTTGAGGTGAAGAAYCTCCACAGACCAAACTCCCAGGGCYCTGTAGGTGATCTTATGAATAAAGATCAAACCAACAGGAAAGAAGAACAGGGAAAAAAGCCAATTTAATTTAACCTTTTCTTYCCTCTCTACTGAAGCACTGCAGTTCAGTGAGTGGTATCAGACTCTGTGTGACTGGTAAGATGTTCCCAGCCAGAGCCCTGATCTGTGATCCTTGTGCTGGGGTTGGTACCATGGCAGGAACGGGTCATGGTGCCAGCCTGGCAGAGCTGTGCAGCCACGGGCACTGAGCACAGGGCAGCTCCTCACCCAGCCCTGCACAGCCCCGGGCCAGCACAGGCACAGATCAGCCAAATGGCATCGCTGAATTCCAGGGGCTCCCAGAGCTGTTTCCTTTTGTCAGAACACATTCGCTGATGGGAGAGAGGCAGACAAGAACCTGCCAAGCTTCCAGCTACTGAGCTCCACCAGTGAGATATCATGGACTCTTGCCTGGGATTCTGCAATTAAGGGCCAGCTCAAAGCACACGAGTCAGGATCCCCCTCCCCCTTCCCACATGACACAACTCCAGAAATTTGCTCKTGGGCTCAAACGAACAATATCCTTGTCCAACCAGTGGTGCCAGGATATGAGCCAGAATCGTCATTAGTGAAGCCTCCATTCCAGCTCTGACAGAACCTCTGTGTGTGCAACACAGCAGCTGCTTCTCTCAGGCACACTGAGGTTCCTGCACACTTTAGAGCAAGAGGAAAATAGATACACTACAAGATCTGCACTTCTTCATTGTGCAAACCACTTCATTTTATTTGGGAATTTCTGCTTAAGAAAAGCACACAAAACTCTTTCTACTTCCACTCACTGAAACGATGCCAGCAGTATCTGGCCAACTTTGATATTTTTTATTACAAAAGTAACTCTGACTACTGGCTCCCTGCACATCCCAGTGACAATAATGTATTTTAAATGGAGCAAGCAACAGAGGGCAAATAAAGCAAGTCACAGAGCAGGTRACAAATGTCAGGACTATTGATATGTCCCTSTCTGCTCTAGCCCAGATTCCACCCACTTGACAGAGCTCTTGTTATCTACTGTCCTACAGAGCACAACTGCTGTGTTCCTTTACCAYGTTCTCATACAAAGTTGTGCTCTAMTTCCCCCTTTAATATTAYGATYCTATTATATTTTAATTCACAAATGGCAGAACAGCARCCTTGCATATTCTCAGGCAGCAAAGAAGCCAAACTTCCTGTACTTAACAGTAACAGAGCATGAAGGTATTTTTATTTACTCCCTCAGTTTCAGAAACCACATTGACAGCAGGGRTGACACAATGCCAGCCTGGGTAGGGAATAGCAGATGTCTTACAGGRCCCTTCCCAAAGCAGAGGGAAGGTGAGTTACCCATCATTAGGAGTTTAGATCTCTTACCATTTCCATTATGAGGTGTCCACAAACAAAGCACTTGTCTGCTGTTTGCTGAAAACCTGAATACTGTTAAAATGACAGAAAAGAAAGCATCATTAGTAGTCACTCCTCCAGCCTTTCAGGTAAAGGCTGAGCTATTTTCCAGCCCGTGCTGTGTATGACAGCAAACTATACACAGGTTTGGGAGACAGTGATTTGGAAGCCTCCGCTCAGCTCTTGCAGCACACTCAGATACCAGCCTGGTCTTCAGATCCACTGCAGTGTTTCCACCGAGATTCCAAATGTAGCAGTATTATTGTAAGTTTGATTTTTTATTTTTGAAGTCTGTTTGGAAAGTTTGTGTTTGATGTGCAGAAATTAGCTTGAATTGACTCTTTCAGTGGTCGTTTTAAACAACATAGGACTCACCTTCCAAATCCTGATCAAATTAGCTGCCTCAGACTTTGGATCTACATTTCACTCAGTGCTATCTGCAGGCTAGCAAACTGACGATAGGCCCACAAAGGATTCAGCTGCCTTGTGAATACCAAGCTTTCCAGCCAGGGAAGAATCCAGCAGTGCACTCACAGGAGCCTGGGCTTGCTGCACATTGTGGGCAGCAATAAGGTACCCCGGAAATATGGTCCAAATCCCAGCTGCCATCCCTGCTCCAGTGCCAAGGGTACAGCTTGCCTGCTTGGGACCAAAGCTGTGTGTTCCCTCTTTGAGCAGTTCTGACCTTAACTTTGTGCTCCTGTCCCCAAAGCAGATCCTGTTTCAGATGCTGAGGGCTGCTTTTAGCCCTGTGATTAGACATACAGGAAAGCAATCCAGGTAATGAGGCTGTGCTACCAAACCACACCCTACAGACAAGAGAAATCTTCCTGAGGAACTCCAGCCATGYACATTTGAAACGGGTGTTTGCAGGGGCTGAACCTTCCCCATGCCAGCGGGGAACTGTGTGCCCTGTCCTGTCAGGGGGAGTGCTGCCCACCCTGCTGGGCACTGCTCACTGGGGCTATTCCAGCACAGCTCAGCTGAAAGGTGCTTCAGCTGCACGAGATAGAAGATGAGGAAGGGGAGGATGAACGTAGACTAGACTCTTCTCCCAGAAAACAGGTTAATTGGCTCAGGCACACAATGGCTCCTCTGAGCCCCTCCATTTCCCTGACCCACCCCAGCCCCCTCGGTTCAGTGGGGATTAACTGTCCCCTCACTTCAAAAGCCTGTGGTTCCCAGCCTGGAGCTGCCATATGTTTTCCTTTTTACTGGAGTGAGGGGATTACATGTTATGTTGGATCAATAGGTTGGGGACAAAATTATTGTTGCTATGCAGCAAAGTGATTATGAAAGAAAAGGTCTTGTAGACACTCGGATGGGCCCAGAAAGTCAGTAAAGGATGGAACAGCAGCTGTCACAGCCCCAAACTTACTATGCCCTAAGGAACACAGCTCAGGCAGCCTTAAGAAATTTTGAAGCTTCCCTAGAAGAGATCAAGGTGTTGAGGAGAACAGAGTCAGGGAGTCCTAGCTAGCTGTTTCTGCAAGATACTACTTTTATTTGCTTTTTCCTTTTTCTTATTGATGCAGAAAGAAGGTTTCACTGCTTGGGATGTTTCTTGGCTACCCCATGGSTGAGTAACCCTCTGGCTAGACTGCTTCCTAGGGCTGGGAACTCCAGGCTCACTGGAAACAGGTGGGCAGGTCCCAGTGACACAGACAGCAGAGGATTAACAACAGCACAAATCCAGCTAATTCTAAAATCCTGATGGAATGAGTTTACCAGTACCATCTGGCTGTCATTTGATMAGGAATGCAAAGAAACATTCACCCATCTATTGATTAAGAGGGGACATTATTCCCCAGGAACAGAATGGCATAGTGGTCATATTAATGGCATATATTGCTATCTAGATTGTCATAAATTACACTGTTTGTCAGAAAGGAAGGCTTTGCTGACACAAAATCACTCTTTATRTAACTAACACTATTAAATTAAAATWATGATTTGTTTTTAACAAGAGAATTGTTATYAGTCAAACACATCCAGAACTGGATTAACCAATTAAGAAGACTTTGCAAAATGGCAGTAAGTCTAATAGAAGGTACAAAATATTTCATGGGCTCAGGGAGCTGTCCTTTACCACTACATTCTGCTCTCTCTGGATCACAGGATCAATCCCAGACAGACTGAAGGCCTGATTCAGTGAGATCAGGGCTTTGGATTCAGGTCTGCTTGTGTTCTAAATCTGTTTGGACAGAGCCCAGCAGCACTGTTTTCTACAGGATGGCAGTACTGTGGACCCTGCTGCTAAAAGGTAAACAATAAATGATTTTCTCAACATTTCTGGASCTTACTGTAAACTGCTTCTTTGCACTGTTTGATCTTAATTTGGAGTGTTCAAACAGGGCTGCTGTACTCAGTTTGCAATTTTAGAAGCAGAGGTTAAAAGTCTTAAAATACTAATTAAAATTGTCAACATCTGTCTTTGAAGCACTTGAATATTAACAACCTTCACAGATCTTGTGTGTGCAATGCAAGAGGAGTTGTTGACCTGCTCCAGACTGCAGACAAGGCAGAATGGCCTCTCCATTGTCTCTGAGCACACCAGGAGCTGCCAGGGACAGGCTCCCAGTGTGGCTGGGGAGGAGAAGCACTGGTGCCCCAGGGCTTGTGAACAGGTAACTGCAGGAGAARAGAAGGTTTTGCTACACAGATTTGGAGCCTTTTTTATTACTGACACAGCTGGAGGGGTAAAAAGAGCTTGGAGCCCCCATTCACAGTCTGGAGATGTGAACAACAGTCTGAGGAGAAGCAGTGAAGTGGCAAAGGCTGACAGGCAAGACCCTCATGGAGAAGCCAAATCTCAGCTCTGGTGCCTGTTCCCATGGTACTCATAGGTACAATTTCATTTGGGGGGGATCTCAGCAGTGTGAGGTTCGTTTCTGGCCTTACTCTATAAGAATTCCCTGTGTGCCAGGTTCTTAAAGGAAAGTATTTTATTGCCAGAGCAGTAAAGTTATATAAATACAAATGGATTTCAGTCTGGATGGGAACAGTCAGAAGTCCATGGACACTCTGTATCCACAACAAATGGGAAGCRTCATTTTGAACTCTCCCAAATATTCATTAAAGATAATACTTGAGCATACATAAAAACACAGAAAGAAGTTGTTATTAAAAGACCAGCTCTGAATTCAAAGCTGAAAATGAAGCGTTACCCTTYCTGTGCCTTCTGGGACTCAGGAGTACAATGCTAGATACACCAGGAAGCAAAGAAAACAAGTGCAAGTTGAAAAGCTGGCATATTATTTTTCCTGATTTCTGGGTCTGGTCTCAACTGTTTTCTCCCTTATTTACCTTGGTTTTATCTACCAGGGTAATAATATTTCACTKTATATGCATGAATCAAGACCTTGTAATCTAGCTCCCCAATAATATTTACATAAAATAAAACTCTGGGAAACTACATAAACCTTGAGAAGTATGTTAATTATGTTAGAATAGAAGAATAAATATAAAGTAGAAAACTTGGCTGGCTGAACTTTTCTTTTGTTTGCTGTTCAATATACTTTGATTATCAAACAGGCAAAAAAAAAGAGAGAAATCTCTAATGATCCTGTCCAAGAGTCTTTGTTTCAATGTAAGAGGAAAACAAGTCCCCTTCTGTCCTGAATATTTAGGCCTGTTAGTATCCTCCTGTGATAATCTTGGGGTTTATAACTCTTCTGTCTAATATGCAATATATCCAAAAGAAATTAACAATGAATTTTAAGCATATAATGMACAATTATGCATGGAGGATAATCCCACAAAGTACTATGAGGAACAATTTCTCCTGCCTGTTCTCAGTCCTGTAGCAAATCTTRGTTGTCTACCAGGGTCTTTTAAAGTTTGATGTTTCCATCATGATTTTCAAAAGAAAAACATTCAGAAAATAGTATGCTGGAAAAAAGCTTCAGGACCCAAACTTTCTACCTTAGGCAATGTCAGGCCTTTGAAAAGACATGTCACTGCTCCTCCCTCACATGCCTGACCGTGCCCAAGGACGGGCTGCTGCTCTTCCCTGCTGTTATGCACTCAGCAAAACAAAACCTTCCTCCTGGAAACAGATCCTGGAATCTCATTCAGCCCATTTGCTCCTTTGATGAGGATGTTCAAAACCTGCTGAAGGTTTGTGCGAGCAGAGCGAGCGGGTTACATTTCAGTGGGTGTGGCAGCTGCTGCCCCGGTAATGGTATGAAGCTGTAAAATCCCAATTCAGGGCTGCGGCTCYGCAGTCACCGAACGGGGCTGCCCAGGCGGGCCTTCAGATTCCCGCTCTGTTACGCTTTTAGAGCTTTTGAGCGGGATGATAAGACGTTTTTGCCAAAATGCTTCAGGCATCTATTTCTGAAAACTAATTTCTGAATTGGGTGCTATGCTAATAATGTATTCCAACCCCAGGCTGCCTGTAATCCCTCACAGACTCGCTGCTCCTGGCTTTCCCATTAGCAGAGCATCTGTCTTCTCGCTGCTGTATTGTTTGCTCTCTGCATGGGACCCTTACTACATGGGACACAACAATGTAAGAAATTCATGGGATTGCATGAMGAGAGGCAGCAAATATCAAATTTAGTTTCATGCGGATGGGGTTTGTTGTTGTTTTTTATGCACATATTTAAATGCAGCGATTAAAATGAACTGGGCAAAATGGGGCCTTTCTCAGGGTCAAAGATATGAGAGCCTCRTGGTAGGAAACAGATTTACTAAAGGAAGATAGTCCAGAATTTCACTCTTCATCTTGCTTATATATGAAACTCTTTCATATATCCTGGTGCTTCACACTGTGTTGCTGTCTGTGCAGAAACACTACACAGCCGTTTGCCTTCTTGCTTCTGTCTCCCCCCTTTGTCATGTTTGAAGGACAAGGAGAGGGCAGGGAGGGACTCCACGCTCTGCAGAGGTAGCAGGTGGTCTGGCCAGGATGAAACTCTGCCAAAATGCAGGAACTGAGCTGGTCCTGAATTCTGTCTGTGGCAGGCAGGCATTTCATAGCCCCACAGAAGGGACCAGCCATTGACATCCTGCAGCACCTGCAGAGACCC